CATAGCTTAACTGGGTTCTATGCCGATTTGCGCTCCCCAGATCAACCCCGCTGACGGGTGATTGCTGTGGCAAAAAAGATCGATAGAAATAGCTGAGAGACGTGCGAAACAAAGGACCCGCATGGTGTGGTGGTGAACGCGTTACTCCCCGGCAAGGATAATAGCGCGTTCGTTCCCCACCATAGACACCTGCGGTCCAGAGTTTTGCAAATATCTCAGCAACATTGTGGTTCTATATCAATCGTTTCTGCTTCACAACCCCCGTCTTGGACCCCGAAATATCCGCTAATAAAAAACTACCAGGCATTCAGCACTGTGAAGTTCGAGCTGCGATAGAAGGCACGAAGGCAGAAACAACTCCTGCAGCAAATAATATCACCGCCGATTTCCTTAGAGCTGGCCACAAACTAGATGTGGTTCTCACAGGCCACGCAAGATCTTGCGTCCAAAAAGAGAAAACCCTAGACAAGTGGAGAAATCGGGCACGATCGTCCTAACCAAGAAGGATGACCGAAGGGATTTTCAGAACTGTCGTTCAGTATGCTTGTTGAATGTATTCCACACGAGCTGTTCACGATGACTATCACTTTACGCATAACGAAAACCTTAAATGAGGCACAGCAGGTTGAACAAGGTGGATTCCGACAGGGATTCTGCAGCACGAACAACACCCAAACTGAATCACCGATCACAGAAGTATGTCGGGCGTACCACATTCCACTTGTCCTAACTTCCACCTACTACGTAAGACAGACGGTTTGATAGCATCGAAGCGAATGCAAGTGCTTGTCGAACAACGAGTGGACCTGCAATATATACGAACATTAGGAGAAAGGGGTTCGACAAAGTGAGACAATATCGTGAAGCTGTTTACTCACACAATGTAGCGAATAATGAAGTCACTCGATTTTTTCGAGGAGTACCAGTGAAGCAGAGATAATGCTCAATGAATTCAGCAGAACGGAAAAATGATTGGATGCGCATAAATAGGGCGAAGACCCAGTACATGAAAAGCCCATGGTGCGAAGGTGAACAAATCAAACTGGATGGTTCCCTGATTACAGAAACTAATTCATACGTGTACCTTGGACGCTTAATGAACATAGAGAACAAGATGAGGGAGGAATTAGACAGAAGAAGAAAAGCATGATGCATTCGGGCCTCTCAAAGAAGCCACCAACTAGCTAAATGACAAAAAAATTCCTCCTTACGTTGTAGGTTCAGCAATCCTCTCAGCGTTCTGTTATGCAGTGTGTGTGCAGGAAACGTGTGCTGATACTTAAATCACGTCAAAAGAAATCTGCACACCACCAAGAACTTGAAGAATGTCTTTTAAAATTCAACCAGCACTATAAGGTCTGGGCGGAATGCACAACTTAGATGTTCGAAACCTATTCGATCTTCGAAACGAAACACAGAAACGCAAATGGTCGCATGATAAGAACAGCAGATGACAGATTGACGAAAAGAACTGTGGAGTGGACTCTAAGAGAATACAAGCGCCCTCTTGATCAAGCATCCATATAAA